CACACACACACACACACACACACACACACACACACACACACGGGCTCGCGGTGCCAGCCCCCCCGGGCGAACACATGTCATCTTGTCTGGTCCTCCAGCGTTCACACCTCCCGTGCAGCCATCCCCCCCCCCTCCAGCGCCCGCCTAATTCTGACACAATTACACTCAACGCATGCATTTTGGACACATTTCTCAACTCGAGCTGAGCCCAGCTTCTTCCTTTTCTTTTTTTTTTCTTTTTTTTTTCTTCAACACCTGAGGGAAAACACTGCGAGCCTGCAGGAAAACATCCGCTGGCCGGGGCCCAGCGGCGTGAGTAATGGAGGGGGATCTAGTGGCTTTACCAGAGTCTGTCCTCCATGCTTGTTCTGTTTTGTTCTGTTCGCCCTCGTATCCGTTTCCTCTCAGGCTTCCCGCCTTTCCCCGCCTTCCCCTCCTGACCCTTTTCCATTCAGACAGGGGATATTTCATCCAGTCGGCCGCGTTTGTTTCCTCCACCAGTCCCTGTGCAAACGCACGCGTGTGTGTAAGGAAATTCATCATATTTTTGTGTTAAAGTCAAGTGTCCCTCTTCACGGGTAGCACATCTTTTTCTCGTCTCACAAAAGGCGCCGCATTCTCCGCCGTCTATTCGCGCTGTATGTTTCACTTTTGACGCTTTTTCTAAAAATGAGCCGCTTTGGTTTTTCTCCGGCAGGTTATTCGGGCCAAAAGCGACTAAACGAGTTCGGGCCTACACCGCCTTTTTACGCCTCCTGTGACATCGTGTTGACTTTGCCAACCTTTCCGAAAATAAAAAGAGGCTTAAATAGAATTTCTGTGTTGCTTTGTTGCTGCGTTGAGGACTTTTAAGATTCAATCACAAACATTTCTGACCCCCAGTTTTTTTTTCTATCTCCAGCTCTTTTCAGACTGAATAAGCTGTCAAAAGGCACCAACTGAAAAATCCTTGTCGGCTCCAACTCTAAAGAACTGCAACTAACTGGATTGTCCTTGTTTCTTTTAATTAAAATTTCTATAAAGATGTCATTCAAAACTGAACGCAGCTATCTAAATAACTTCCTGGAAGTTTAAGCACAGATCAAGGCCCTTAACCGCTTAATCTTGATGTGGTTTTTCTGTTTTCAAGTAGACATGAAGCGCATAAAGGAGTCTGATGTGGTACAAAATGAGAGAAATCACCAGCTGCTTCTGTCCCGAGCCGGAAAATAGCAGGAAGTGACCCACCAGAATCTTTCCTGAGGTGATGTAATATCCGAAATATTCCCCGAGATTAAAGTCATTCATAAGGAGAAGCGAGCTCCAGTCTCTAGACGTGGTTGTCCCCCACAGTTCTTGTTGTCTTTTTTCCCTCCATGGAAAACAAGAAGATTAAAGAATATATTTTCAAGCTTTTAGAAAAAGCTTTGATTTAGATGTAAGTTTCAAGTAAACGGATAGCTGGCCTTCTCAGATGGAGTCAAATCCCAAAACGATGCATTTTGCTGGAGAAATGAAAAGCTGTGACATAATATTGGACTTCAGCCAACCAGAAACCACCTGTCCGAGCTCTGGTCTCACATCACACACAGACCAGCGTTTCTAGCTTTCTGGTGGTATCTTTGAATCCGTTTTACATCCGATGGAAAGAAGAAACTCCCGTATGGATTCAGCTGGAATACTTAATAATCGAATTGTGTTATGATTTTCCACAGTTACTATTGAAAGCTAAAGTATTGAAACCGGCCTAATAAAAAAGAAAATGCAGAGTTTATTGGTTATTCCAAAATGAAAGATAGTTCAGTGATTTAATGAACTAATATAAAAAAGATTTTCTTTAAAGTGCAAAATCATAATGCTTTCGACAGATTTAGTTAATGAAAACCCTAATCCAAATGCTTGAGTTTGGTTTTAATTTAGATTAAAACCAAGTGGCCAACTGGATCAAAAGCAACAGTTTGATGTAAAAGTTTCAAAAACTGATCTTTGGTTACAGTTGCTGGTGAAATATGATAAAAGAAGTGTTTTCTCTGCGTTTTGTCTCGTTCTAAAAGCCAATTAAAAGTGATCAAGTGTGATCTGTGGAGTAAGTGACCTCTTTTTCTCTGGAGACCTTGGCGGAAAAGCGAAGTTTGGATAATAACGTCAGCATTAAAGCGCTTTTCTCCATTCAGCTCGTTTCTGAAGGATCACCTCACAAAAAGATGAAGATCTCAGCCAGGAGCTGAAGACATGAAGTCAAAGAAAACACGGCCATTCTCTTCTCCACATAAAAGTTTCTGCTCTTTACCGAAGAACTATTCAGAACAACATTCCGTATCTAAAGCCCACAGCTGAAGAGGTGACAATGGGCTTTGTACTTCCATGGCTACACATCTACAGCTCCTGTATGAATTAGGAGTCAAAAGTCCCCTTTAAATAGTCGTCCGACAGTCTTCAATGCCGAACAACAGCCCGATAACACGTTTAGGGCTTATGAAAGTCCAACAGTTTGGAAGGTCACCGTTTAAATAAACGCCTCTGTACATGTCAAACCTCCAACTTCAGAGACCAGTTATTATTCTAAATAAACTGAGTGGATTTTGTACGAATTTGGCTAAAATTCCTCATTTTAGCATAGTATGTTATAACATGATGTTTGTTTGTTTCTTTTTAGAACTTTACTTTTGTCTTGAAGTCTCTGGCTGTGCCCACAGACTTTCTTTTTTCTCTTTTTCTTTTTCTGTTACATTAGATCCACCTTTA